GGTAAGTCTACCAGGCAAAGACAAAGATTATCAGACAGGATAAAAATTTATTCATGTTATTTACAATAGATCTTCCTAAAACATAACTAAAGGTATGAAAATGACTAGCTGTGATGAATGTGAACAGCCACGTACGTCAAGATAGATAAATCTATGAAACATAATATTGAGAGGAAAATAAAAGTCTCAGAAGAATACATAAAAGATGATTCCATTTACATAAGGTTCAAAGATATATAAAACCAATCGATATATTAATTAAGAATAGATATATATGGTAAAACTATAAAGAAAAAGAATGATAAGCCCAAAATTAAAGATAGTGGTTACCACAGAACAGTTGGGAATGAGGGGAGTGATGAGTGGATGAGGGGAGAATTAAGGAGGGATACATGAAAGCTTCAAAGTTATAGGCAATATTCTGGATCTTGGCCTCATTAGTAGGCAAGTAGGTACGTGTTTTGTTGTTAGGACAAAGTCTTTATATATGTTTAATGTTTTATGAAAATAGTTTTTGAAACAAGTATTAGTAACTTCGACTTTTTTTGGTCTTGAAAGACTTTTTTGAGATCATGTCGACAGCAACAAGTACACTGATCTCACTGTTTGCCACAAGATTTTCTATTTCTATCTTCACAGACGTGATGCATGGCACAAAACATAGATCAACTCCAAAGTCAAGCTCTTCTACCTTCTTTGTGTTTTAAATCCCAGAAATGCAGAAAAACTAGATTTCAAAAATGATAGTGATTAAATGGAATAATGACTTCCAAAGGCTGTTCTCTTGTTTTGGTGTAAACACATTTTCCTGTAAAATTTTCCAAAATGATTTTCTCAAGGTTATAGTTATTAACTTTATCAAACCTAGATCCAGAATCTCCTTAGAAATCTTCTAACAAAAAGATAACTTTAGTGAGAAAATATTTCTTATAAACTTCAAAATACAAATTTTGACTGTGATTAAGTAGATATAATGCCTAAAATCACAAAACACAAAGACTGGGTAAGACTGGATTTTCTAAGACAGAAATCCTGCCCTTGACAGGTGCAACAAATTGAGAAAATGGATATGCAGTCTGTAAATACTTTGCTACGTACATAGATGGGTATAAACTATAAATGCTTGATATCACTCATAATGATATCAATGCCTATCTTTTTTTGTTTCTACATAAATGTATTCAATAACTCAAACATAATTATTGAGCATGTCAAGATCCACTAAAAGTTGTATCTGATACTTTGAAGAAGTTAGTCTTTTCCCTAGTGTTCAAAACTAGCTCAAAATTGTCAAAAATTGTCACCAAGAATACTGATAATCAATCAATAAATCTCATTAAACAGAAGAACTTTGTGATCTCCACATCAAATCCTCATACAACAAGGCAAATAATCTGGTATTTACTGTATGGGTTTTCACATAATTCACAGGATAGTAAAAGGTTGACATGG